TTTAACATCAGAAATGTCAAGATCACAGTGCTCTGGTTTCCTTTGCAAAGGTTTGGGGACATTATGGAACAAATTATTCTGCCATGGCTGTAAGAATTACCCAGAAGGATTCAACTAAAATTATAACAGGCAAAATTTTGTAAAAAGAAGTTTATGGAATGGGGGAAGAATAAAAAGACAAAAATGATATGAAAGAGGTTATTCATTGAGGCATCAGATACTGTCTTAAACCTCTGACAGAAAAGGGGCTTCAGTTTGAGGAATAATGTTGAAATTTAGCAAACTTCTTATACACACACACACACACACACACACACAGACTCATACTTACCAAAAGAAATGGGCACATTCCTGATATGAATACATACAGGACACATGTATACCTACATCAAAACTACATATTGGGAGAAGGAAAAAGTACTTTCCTAAGCTCTTTGCTCATTCTTCTCACTTAAGGACAGTCTTATTTTACCAATTAATGTGAACTTCAAATTGATTTTTTTTGACAAGAGGCTTAAATTAGAAGCAATAAAATTGGAAGTACCTATGACTTTCTGCTTCCTTTTCTCTCCTCCTGTCACTCACATGACCTAGAACTCAGGCTTCCATTTTTGTAAGCTCCCACTCACTCCCCTACAAAGCAATTGCAATCTCAAGAGCTTGGATAAATTCTTATAGACTGCATGGCTGACAATAATTGTAAAATCCAACCATATTTTATCCCATGATGTTGAAAAACCTGAAGTGAGAAAATCCTTGATTCATTTAAATCATTAGAGTGAGATTCTAAAAATCCAAGGTTGGAAACTCAGAAATCCATAAGCCTTACAGAAGAGAATTTCTTTGTACGGCGTCTGCCTTCCTAAGATGCCCAGATATGGATGACTCTGGTAGCTTTGGTACAACAGGAAGACTAGATCAGCTCATTCTTAGGTTGCGTTATACCATCAGGAAGGATCTGCTCCTCTAGTCCGTCTTTGCCTCTATGATGGGGAGAGAACATCCATGATTCCCTATTAGAATACAAGCTACGTGAATGGTGCAGATTCTTTACTAATGACCAAGAAACAAGTTTAGGGTGGAAGAATCAGGCCAGAAGATCTTTCCTGTAACAATAATCCTCAGTGCTTTGCGAAACCAAGGATAAAACATGCCATAAATAATGGCATTGAAAGTAGAATTAGAATAAGCTAGCCACAGAAAGACATTAGACAAATCTTCTGGAGTTGTAAAATCAATGAAAGGGTCTATGATTGGCAAGACAAAGAACGGCAGCCAGCACACCACAAACACTCCCATGACTATGCTTAGAGTCTTGGCGGCCTTGCTTTCTGTTTTGGATGTCACCTTCATTCTGGTTTCTGAGTCAGCCTGTTTTGTCCTAGGACCTGTGCCAATTTGCTTGGCATGCTTCCTGGCTACTGTAAAAATGTGTATGTAAATCCCCACCATGACTGTCCCAGGAATAAAGAAAGATATAACAGGGGCCAGCACCCCCCAGAGCTTGTTAAATATCAACACACACAAACCTGTGCAGTCAGTGGAGGCAATAAAATCTTCTACACCAATTATATTGAGTCCTGAGAAGATCCGGCCACAGGCCAGAAACATGGGAACAGTCCAACTGATGAGCAGAAAGATCTCTATGATAGGCATAGTGATTTTGGTGACATAGTGCAGAGGGTCACAAACAGCATAGTAGCGGTCAACAGAGATGAAGCAGAGGTGAAAAATAGACGTAGTGCAGAGCATGATGTCGCAAGAGCTGTGCACTTTGCAGAAGAGATCTCCAAAGTACCAGCAGGAATCGATGGACCTGATCATGCTGAAGGGCATGACCACACAGCTTACCAGCAAGTCAGTGGTGGCCATGGAGAGGGTGAGGAAGTTGGTTGGGGAGTGGAGCTGCTTGAACTGGGCGATGGAAATGATCACAGCCATGTTGCCCAGCATGGTCATCACTATAGAACAGATTATGAAGACGTACATGGTGTAGGTAGACGTAATTAGCATGGGCCTCTCCTTTCTAAGACATGAATTATTGACCGATGGAAAGCAAAACTGTGCTTCTGGAAGATTCCCAAGGTCAAGTGAATTCATTGTCTTTGTCTTTTGAGTCCTAAGATGTTTGTTTTGAAACAGCTTTGTTCTTTTGCTTGCTGTGTAAAAAAGATGGAAATCGATCGATGTCACCAGCAGGACAATTTTCTATAGGTGTCCCACAAACCTGCATTTTTAATCTAAGTTTAAATTTCCCACTTCCTAAGAGCACTTTTCCCACTCTTTTGTCTATAGGCATCACATAAGTTTGGATTCTAAACCATAGATTCCGATTCTGGATTAGAAGCCAAGGCTGCATTCTCAAAAGTTCTCAGGAGAGCATGATATTTAGTCACCCAATATCCAAGTAGGACAGAAAGAATTCTTCATTTGCTTGTGTAATTGTAATCCGGAGTAAGAGCAGCATAATAGTACAAGTGGTATATGCATCTACATGGCACTTGGATAAAAAAACTTCAAGAATCATCAAGAACTATGTTACTATTTTTCTACATTTACCTTAAATATTAATTATAATCTGAAGTCTACTGCATTCTTGTTTAAAAGTTCCCTATGTGAAATGGCAAATGCTTTTGATCCT